GTTTAAATACAGATGATCTCTTCACAGAAATCAAAAGAGCTTTTACGTTCAGGGCAATCATGGGAGTCTCAGAGTCCTACTGGTTCTTCACCCTCACCTGATGGACACCTCCAGAAGGGCTCCAAGGGACCTCTGGATCCCAAAGATACAATATGAGAATGTCTAGTAGCAGAGGTTTAATTTATACCAAGATTACTGTTTCTGGGAAGATGGAATATACTTTTCCATGTGCCTCCTGCTATATACAGCATAAAACCATGAGCATTATATACAAAACAAGCATAAGAAGATTCTGAAAGGAGGAGAGAAAGAGGCAGACTGGCTAGGAACTTCAGGACCCAAGTGGTGATTTCTTTGGGTTTTCTTTTTGCCTCATATATCTCACACTTGGAACTGAATAAAATGACAGCTTAAAAACCCAAGTACGTGCAAAAAACACACATACAGGACTTACATGCTAAAAACTACATGACACTAATGAAAGAAATTAAAGATCTAAATAAATGCAGAGGCATAAGATTTTCATGGTAAAGATGTTGATTCTTCCCAAATTGATGTAAAGATTTAACACAATTCCTATCAAAATCCCAGAATGTATTTTTGTCTGTGTGTATGGATACGAGCACAATTACTTTAAAACTTTTATGAGGACGGAAGGAACTAGAATAGCTAAAACAATTTTGAAAAAGAAAAATAAAGTGAAAAGAACCAGTTTACTTGATTTCCACACTTATTCTATAGCTGTAGTAATCAAGACTATGTGGTATTGACAGAGGTATAAACACATAGATCAATGGAATAGAACAGAGAATCCAGAAATAAACTCACACAAATATAACTGACTACATTTTGACAAAAGTGAAAAAGCAATTCAATGGAAGAAAGATAGCCTTTTCAACATAATGGAGTGGGAAAAATTAACATCCATAGGGGGTTAAAAAGACCCTCCAGGGAAGTCTTATACAAAAATTAGTCTAAAATCGATCACATACGTAAATGTGAAATGTAAAACTCTACAACTTTTAGAAAAAACATAAGAAAAATCTTCAAGATCTAGTGCTAGGCAAAAAGTTGTTGTATTTGACACAAAAACTCAGTCCATAAAAAGACAAATTTATAAATTGGATTTCATCAAAATAAAAAAAAAATGATTTTACTCAATAAAGACCCCATTAAAAGGATGAAAAGACAAGCTAGAGTGGGAGAAAATATTTACAAACCACATATCTGACAAAGGACTAGTATTTAGTGCACATAAAGAACTCTCAAAACTCAACAGTAACAAGAAACAAATAAACAAGCAATCCAACTAGAAAGAGCAAAAGTCATGAAGAGACATTTTACCATATAGGATTATAGATGACAGATAAGTGCATAAAAATGTGTGTAACATTATTAGCTTTAGGTAAATGCAAATTAAAACCACAACACCCTATCACTACATACCTATCAGAAGGGCTAAACTAAAAAGATAGTGACAACTCTTTTTTTTTCCAAAGATTTTATTTTTTTCCCCCAAAGCCCCCCAGTACATAGTTGTATATTCTTCGTTGTGGATCCTTCTAGTTGTGGCATGTGGGACGCTGCCTCAGCGTGGCCTGATGAGCAGTGCCATGTCCGCACCCAGGATTCGAACCAACGAAACACTGGGCCGCCTGCAGCGGAGCTCGCGAACTTAACCACTCGGCCACGGGGCCAGCCCCAAAGATAGTGACAACTCTTAATGCTAGTAAGAATATGGAAAAATTGGGTCACTCACACATTGCTGGTGGCGGTGTAAAATGGTACTGCTACTCTTGAAAACAATTTAGAAGTTTCTTTATATATATCCTGCATGTAATATATAAAGCAGTATTTGCACTCCTGGGTATTTATTGCAGAGAAATGAAGATTTATGTCACACAAAAACAAATTGAAAAAAGTTTCCAAGTTGTTTATAGTAGCTTTATTCAAAATGGCTAAAAATGGGAAATATCCTAAATATCCTTCAATAGGTGAATGGTTATGCAATCTGTCATACAATCATATCATGGAATATGACTTAGCAATAAAATAAGGAATGGCATGTTGAAACATGCTACAGCCTAGATAACTCTCCATAGAATTATGCTAATTGAAACCAACCAATCCCAAAAGACTTGCATACTGTATGATTTCAATTATATAATATTCTTCAAATCACAAAATTATGGATATGAATAAATTAGTGGTTGCTAGACATTATGAAGGGAGGGGAGTATGCAATTAAAAGGCAACAGGAAGGATCCTTGTCGGTACGGAAATGATCTGTATCTTGATTGTATCAATATCCATATCCTGGTTGTGACACCGTACTATAGTTTGCAAGATGTTGCCACTGAGAGTACTCGATAAAGGAACATGGGATCTCTCTGTATTATTTCTTACAATTGCATGGGAACCTACAATTATCTCAAAATAAAAAGTTAATTAGAAATTTCAATGTTCACTTATATTTAAAAATATCCAAAGCTTCAAAAAAGAAGAATCTTAGCAAACTCTAGGCTTAGAAGGCAGCTTGCTTTATCTAATACTAAGTATCTAAACAAAACTTAAAGCAAACGTGATTAATGGAGAAATGCTAAAACCCGTCCCTCAGAAATTGGACACAAGAGAAGAATACTCATTAGTAATACTTTTATTCACTTTGTCCTGGTGGTTCTAATGAGTTCAGTTAGGCAAAAATATGATGTGAAAAACAGCTTAGAAAGGGAAAAATGTCACTATTTATGGAAAATATCTTTTGGGTATGTAGAAAATTTCCAAAATTATATAGATAAATTACAAGATTAAATTAATGAATTTAACGAGTTTTCTGGCAGTAAAGTCAATACAGAAAGATCAATTTTATTTCTATATGTGAGCAACACAGATAGAAAATGAAATGATTTAATGGTATAACATCAAAAAATATCAAACATCAAAAATACCAAATTTCAAAGAATAAATCTTTCAAAAGTTTTGCAAGCCTTCTCCTAAGAAAGCTGTAAGATGTTATGAGAAAAATTAAAGAGGATATAAGTAAGTGGAAGTGTATACCATGTTTACAGATGGGAAGATTCAATATGTCAACAATGCCAATTTTCCTCTAATTGATCTACAAATGTATACCAAACCAATGTGGGGGAAGGATGGAGATTCACCAAATGATTCTAAATTAATAGGTAAATAAAAAAGGCAAAGAATGGTTAAGACAATCTCAAAAAAGAACAATAAACTTTACCATATATCAAGACATTGTTAATCTACAGCAACTAAGACAATGTGATATTGGCACATGGATAGAAAATTGGCAGAATAGAGAGCCCACACATTAATGAATACTTTTTTCTTTTCCCTTTAAGGAAGATTAGCCCTGAACTAACATCTGCTGCCAATCCTCCTCCTTTTGCTGAGGAAGACTGGCCCTGAGCTAACATCTGAGCAAATCTTCCTCTACTTTATTTGTGGGACACCTGCCACAGCATGGCTTGATAAGTCGTGACTGAGTCCACAGCGGGCATCCGAACCAGTGAATCCTGGGCCTATGAAGCGGAGAGTATGAACTTAACCACTATGCCACGGGACCAACCTGTAATGAATCCTTTTTTCAGGTGACAGAATTGGCATTTCACAGTAATAGGAAAAAGAAAATATTTTCAATAAGTAGTCCTATCAGTCACAAACAAATACTGAACTTAATGGAACTTAACTGCTATCTTAAAATATACACAGAAATAAATTATAGATGGGTTGTACATATAAATATGCAAAGCAAAACAATAAAGCTTCCAGGAGGTACTGTCGGAGAACACCTTCATAGCTTTGAGTGATAAGATTTCTTAAAAAATTAATATAAACACACTAACTACAGAGTGAAAGATTGACAACTTGGAATACATTTAGTAAAATTGAGACTACCTTAAAACAAAAAATTTGGTTCACCAAACGCACTTCTCAAAGAGAAGGAAAATGCAAGCCATAGTGTGGAATAAAGTACACGTAGTAACAAAAGACTTGTATCCACAATATGTAAAGAATTCCTACAAGTTAATCAGAGAGAGGCAACCTTCTCCAATGAAAAGTAGGCAGGAGATCAAGGGCTTTTGTGTGCTTGTGTGTTTGTGAGGGAGATTGGCCCTGAGCTAACCTCTGTTACCAATCTTCCTCTTTTTGCTTGAGGAAGATTGTCACTGAACTAACATCTGTGCCAATCTTCCTCTATTTTATGTGGGGCATCAGCACAGTGTCACTTGATGAACAGTGCTAGGTCTGGTCTCAGGAGCTGAACCTATGAACCCTGGGCCACCAAAGCAGAGCATGAGAACCTAACTACTAAGCCACCAGGCTGGTGTCACAGTTTTTTTTTTTAAGTAATAACATTTATTACTGTCATTTATTGAGCTTGAAACTGTACAAGCATGGTAAAAAATATGTATATTTTTTACATTAATTGTGTCATCTAATTCTCGTAAAAACCATATGAAGGAAAAATTCTCACCTCCATTTACAGATCAGAAATTAAAAGTCAGAGAAGTTACATAATTTGCCCAATTTCACAACTTATAAAAACAGGGTTTAGGCCTGCCTGAATCCAAAGTCTTAATCGCCATGGTATTGTAGAGGAAATTTCATTCACTTGTTATCCATTTATGAAAGGTTTATTTAGTTTCTAATATGTTTGAAAATATTGCTGGGGACTAGAGATATAAAGATCAATAAGATGTGACCTTTATCATTAAATGAGGGCACAACGAGAGCCATACAATAAGTCCACTTGAAGATGGAGGTTGGTGAACGGGTAAAGACTTCGTAGAAGAGGTGACACTTCAGGTATCCTAAGAGTTATCTCACTGAGGGAACTGGGGAAGGGTGACAAGGAAGGAGTCTCCCAGGTAGGGGGAGCAGTATCAAAAAAGTATGGAGTCTTTTGCCTTCTCTTCCTTCCCTTGAGGTTAGGAGGCAGTGATAGTGGCATCAGGGATTGAGGAGGTGATGGGGTAAAACATATGGAATGCTTTACAAATATCCATGTCATTCCTGCACAGGGGACATGCTAATCTTCTCTATATTGTTCCAATTTTAGTATCTGTGCTGCTGAAGTGAGCACAAGAGATTGAGTTTTTATAAAGAGGTCACTCAAACAACTGATAAATAAATTTAAAGCTGCACAACCACATTAATAATCAGTAAAAAACAAATTAAAATTATAATATGATGCAAATGCTCTCCAATCAGAATGGCAAATTTAAAAAACTGACCCTCAAATAGTGGGGAATAGCTTGTGGCGATAGGAGAACTTTCATATACTACAAATGGAGTATAAAATGATGCAACCAGTTTAGAAAACTGTTTGGGACAATTTACTAAAGCTGATCACGCACATAACCTATGTGCCAGATTGAATTATTGCTCCAAGTTCTTCTCTGTACAGATATATATATATACTCCCTCGCCATAGATTTCTAGTGGGGGGAGAGTACTTCCTTGTTCTTTGATTTTAGGCTTGACCATGAGACTGACTTTGGCCAATGGAATGCTAACGGATCTCATGTAAGCAGAGGCATGAAGTGGGACTTGTGCTCTGCTCTTTGAGTCTTTCATCACTATGAGAAGAATATGCCCTGAGACGCCAGCTGGTTTCAGAAGCAAGATAGATATCAGTTTGAAGAAAAGACATCCCAAGTAATCTACAGGTCTGTGAGGGACAAATAAATGTTATTTTTTACCAGATTTTTGGCAATTAGTTATAAGGAATTTCACTCATCAGGAATATATGCACGCATACAGTTTCGTGCATACATGTGCACAAAAGGCACGAATGAAAATATGCATATCAGCATTATTCAAACTACCCCTAAACTAGAAACAACCAAGAGTTGATATACAAATAAACTCTAGTGTTCTCATACAGTGGATTATTTTTGCTATGAAATTTAGAAAACTAGAGCACACTAAAACATGGTTGAATCTTAGCAATATAATGTTGAGTGAAAGCAGGTAGACACAGAAGAATGCACATAGTATGTTCCATTCATAAAAAATTCAAAAGTAAACGTCCGAACTAAGCTATATTTATTGGAAAATCCTTTCTTAACCAGAACGGAGATTATTTGGATGTTTACTTTGTGATAAGTCATTGTTTTGTATACTTTTCTATATTTGTATTATACTTTACTTTTTAAAAACATTTTAAAAAGGGAATGTTTTAAATAACTCAAATGTCAGAAAAAGGAGAAAATGCTCAGTTCCAGTTCTCTAATTGTTTGTATTTTTTACAGTAGCACAATGTTTGCACAAAATTAGTCCGTGACTTAAGTAATTTTTTTCCAGTGATTTTCTCTTTCTTCGTCTAGTCTATATCAATTTTATCTCACATAATGACAACTTCTACATATTTAATCTTCATGTTGAATAAAATCTGGCAATCTTGATGAATACAGGTTATAGAGACGGAAAACAGAATGATACTAAAAGACCTTTCTGTCCAAAATATCTTTCTTATTGGCGTGGCGTGATGCCCCAAATTCTACCCTTTCTGCTTCATTCTTTCTAGTTGAGATAAGCCATTTTATTTCCAGGAACTCTCTATTAAAATGCAATAAAACTACAGGAGAGGTAAAATATTAAGCTATTATCAAGCACAAACACCTTACTCTGAGATTACTTTTGCACAAAATTAGCTGTCATGAGAGGAAGCAGAAAGCAGGGCCTGAGGGGATGATGTGCAGGGATGATACAAAGGGAGTGAAGAGGAGGGAAAACCCTGCTGACAGCTGTGGGTGCAGAGACTGGGGGAGTACCCGAGAAACAAAGGACATGCAGGAGGCATGTGGGCACCTGAGAACCAGAAAGGACCCCAGGTTTGGGAGCAGCCTGCTGCAGAGCAATGTATGCATGGAAGGAAACGGCTCATCCCTCCTCCTTCTCAAAACTGATGAAAAAAGGAAGTTGTTTTGTGTCCCAAGCGTGCTGAGTATGGTGTTTCCACAACTGAACTCTATGTTGGTACATATACCAAAGATTAATCTGACATAGAGAAATACGATGTTCAGAATTCTTGGCTTGCCTTTTGTGACATCAGTCTTTCCTTGTCAGTCTCTCTAGGAATAAGGGCTGCAAAAATGAAACTTACTCTATGGATGGAGGAAGAACGGGGTATTTTTAGGACAATGGACTAGCGTAGTACTTCACAAACTTTTCTGTACATGCAAATCTCCTGGGGATCTTGTTAAAGCGCACAGTCTATTTCAGTAGGTTGGGGGCTGGGATTCTGTATTTCTAATAAGCTACCAGGTCACACCCATGCTATCGGACCTATAGCAGTACTGTCCAACAGGAATATCATACTAGCCACATATGCAGCTTAAATTTTCTGCTAGCCACATTAAAACAGTAAAAAGAAATAGATAAAGTTCATTTTAATATATTTTTTAACTAAATTTATCTAAAATATCATTGAATCTGTAAGCGACTTAGGAAAATATTAATGAGATATCTTACGTTCTTTTGTTTTATACTAAGTTTTTGAAAGCTACTGTGTATTTTGCACTTATAGTACCTCTCAATTTTGTCACATGCACCACAGCCCCATGTGGCTCAGGGCTATTGTATTGGCCAAGGCACATCTAGAGAGAGGATAAATTGTTGCAAGACAGTATATCTCCATAGACTGAAAATACAAATATAGAATATTCTTTCACTGTCGTTGATGGCCTTTTTGATTAAAGAAGACCAAATATGAGCTTAAAATATAAAGGAATGGCATCCTTAATTATTTTTTAAACTCTTGTTTATTATTGAGGTAGTATTTCATAGGTTATTTCCTGTATTAGTCAAGCTTCTTGAGAGTAGCAGAACCAATATTTAATAAAATACTAATTAAACCTTTAAATTACATCTTAAGATGTAAGATTTTATTTACTTATTTGTTTGCAGTACGGAATTGTTTCACATAATTACGGAGGCTGAGAAGTTCCAAGATCTGAGGTCAGCAAGCTGGAGAGCCAGTGTAACTGACGATGTAAGTTACAGTTCAAGGGCAGGAGAGGACGGATGTCCCAGCTCAATCAGTCAGGCAGGCAAAGTTCTCTCTTACTCAGCCTCTTTATTGGATTTAGGTTCTCAACTGATTGGATGAGGATTACCCACATTAGGAAGGGCAATCAACTTCACTCAGTACTATTCAAATGTTAATCTCATCCAGAAACACTCTCAAAGACTCTCCAGAATAACATTCCACCAAATATCTGAGCACTCCTCAGCCTAATCAAGTTGACACATAAAATTACTGATCTTGCTTCCCTTTGAAGCCTTCTTCTACTTGCCCAGTGAGGAACTTTATGCCCCATCCTGTACTTCCAAAACACCTTGCATACAGTCCCATTAAAGCACTTTAAACATTCTGTTCTCAATATTGTTCTTAGTCTTAGCCATTCGGAAGCATCCAGCATGCCTTATTCATCTTTGTATATGCATTTTCTAGCATTCTGACAGGCACATAGTAAGTGGCCAATAAATTCAGTTTCCCTTCTTCTTTCATTGTGTCTGGCACTCTGCTTGATTTTTTTCAGATGTGCTAGCTTATTTAATTTGCATGACACAGTGTGTATATATCAATACGCTCAATTTAAATATGAAAAAAAAGAGAGAGGCATTAAATTTTATAAAGCTCATAAAGCCAGTAGGAGCTGGTTGGGAGACTAAACTAGATCTGTTAGACCCCAAAACCTATTCTTTTTTGCTACACTGGTTGCTTTTCAAAGATTAATCAAATGAGTAAAGAGATTTACTTTGAAGTTTAGATGCTACTTCTAGATGAATTGAATGAATACATAACTCTCAAATCTGCTCCAAGATTAAATTAATATTTAGATGTAAATAATAGAGAGTTGAATCTTTCATGAAATCACATTTAGTAAAAGACAGGAAAAGGCAGTGTAGTGGACAATTGCTAACTTTGTAGCCACTCAACTTCTTTAAGCCCTACATCCCATGACTGAGGGAGAAGCAACAACTCACTTTCCCAGGCTTCTTTACAACAAAGTTACAAGCATGTGACCTAAGCTGTGCCAAGCAGATATATCCAATCAAATCCTTGATTCAAATGTGAGCCATATGAGGATGTCTGTGCCCTGGGTATTTGAATTTCTGGAGGAATTATAAAGCATAGCAAACACCACTCCAATGCACAGTGGCAGCAATGGCAGCTTCATTGCTCGATTGGTGCAACCACAGTACTATAATTTACGCCTGATTCAGGATGCATATCCTCAGAATTCACTTTTCTGTATCCACTGGAGGTTATGTGAGTGATGTATGCCTAAGTTCTTTCCAATTTTGGGCATCTTCAAATCATCCTAGAGAAGTGACTGCCCACACCTCTTTAAAGAGGACAGGAGCTTGACCACCCACTAGGCCAGCTCTTCTAGTGACAAGGATTTTTTCCCAGAGCTAGCACTAATCCCTTCTCCTTCTTATGGGCATGATTTAGTTTTTTCTTCTCTTGTCCACAGCAGCAGTTCTCATTTATAGTCTATGTGTCACTTTCCAACATCTGGTCTCCATTTACCTTTCCACCACGCAGTGGGAAAAGCCTGGTGTTTTAGCCAGAAGACAAGGGCATGCAACTGCTGATTGATTTTTATAGTACATAATTTACACTTCAGTTTTTCTCTCCCTTCTTGGGCACCAAATGTAGAAGATATTTGCCAAGTCTGGAGGCTGTGTAACTGGCACGTTTTCCCCCCTACTTGGTTAGGTGCTGTTGCGAGGTACTTATAGATGTGACTCTTTTTCCTGCCTCTTCTTCTCCCTTCCCTCTTATTTTCAATGTTATGGTTGAATTTTGGAGAAAAGGAATGTTTGAGAAGAAAAACAAAAACAAAAACTGACCTGGAATTATCACCTATCTCAAAGTTCACTTTGTTCCATACTTTTATATCAGACATAAAAGTGGTGATGTTCAGACATAACAGCTGGTGATGTTAACCTTGTATCCTACATGAGGCATCAGGGATTTCGTTTACTCATTCAAAAAATAGTGTGAGCACCTTGTACATATCTTCTTCTGGGGAATAACGTGAACAAAACAGATACCATCACTGCCCT